AATATTTTCTGTTTAAATAGTAATAATAAATCTTTTGATCTATAAATCAATCAATCTATATTCATATTATAATTACCGAACATAACAACTGATAACTTAATTACATTAATATAAAATTTATTCAAATAACAAAAAGACAAGTAAATGATAAAAAACAAATATGTTAAATTTCATTGATTAACTTTGTTTAAACAAGTACTCAACCAAGAATGAAGACTGAAGAATGATAAACAACATTATTTATGGACGAATAGATTCAACAATAACTTTACCAAAGTTAAAAATAACTTTCATAAGTTAACAAACCTCAATAGAACTGAAACAGAAAATCACACAGATGAGTTATGATAACAACGATGTGAGTATCGAAAAAAACTTCAATTATAAGTTAATCTATGTTTTAAAGTATTGTAGTTTTATGAACAATAATTTTCATTCAAATATTAATTTTCTTGAAAGCAGAATGTTCTGTAAGAACAACAAACACCTAAATATTTATAAAATTAATTTCGATTCTCTTATTGAGTTTATATTATAAAGTTAGTATTGAGTCGGTTTTAAGATAAATTACATTTCCAAATTAATTAAGAATGTTATTAGACTAATTTTATTAATTTATTATCTTATATATGAAGCTTGGTTCTTGTTAAATTACTTACATTTTTCATGGTTGTATGGTTGATATGATAAAATAAGATAGATTTAGAAATAGATTTTATCCTGTTATATAGGTTTCTGATTATAGATATCTTTGAATATTTGGCATTATAGTGATGACATCTTTTAGAGTTTTATTAAGCTGTAAACATTGTTAAAGACAATGCAATTGATACTAATGCCTTTAAATACAGAAGTTCTCTTGCTGGTCCACAAGATATAATACCCAGAGATAGATTCGTCAATATCATGTGAAACATTTTATTCACCATGTTCAGTATTTTTATAAAACGTAATGCTGAGAGATACAATATGGAACAGACACTTGATAAAATAAAAGAAAAAATATACACAAACATAATTTAGAATTTACACAAGAATGGCGTGCTCTTCTACCTAATTTATTGAATTGTGTTTGGAAAAATTATATACTTGACGAAATGTTAAGACTTGCAGGTCATATTGGGTGCCATGATCTATCTTATCATTCCTATTATTTTATTTCAGGAAGCTTGCGTGTGACAATTTGAAGAAGCGCGTATGGTTTATTTATTCCATGACAAAATTTTAATCATAATTGTAGGTACAATGTTTTAATATATATACATAATATGCACAATCATTCGTCTAAAACATCCACTAAATAAGATCATATAATGATAACAACATTTCAATATGATATAGTTTCATATTATCTATACTAATATTATAAAGCTGAAGAGTTTGTTTGTTTGTTTGTTTGTTTGTTTGTTTGTTTGTTTGTTTGAAAGCGCTAATCTCCGAAACTACTGATTCGAATTGAATAATTCTTTTTGTGTTGGATAGTCCAGTTATCGAGGAAGGCTGTAGGCTATATAACATCACGCTACGACCAATAGGAGCAAAGATATAGTGGCAAATGTGTGAAAAACGGGAGAAATTATTTCATCTTTGAAGCCTTCCGTTGCGTGCGCCGTGAAAACGGTTCAAGATACATAAAAAGTATGTATGAAAGAATAATAGCTCTTTTAATGATCTAAAAAACAGTTATATGTCTATCTTTTAAGATTAACTCACAAAAATCGTTTTTATGGTACCTAATTTAGTCGAAATAATTTGTTTAAGTTGTATCAAAATAATAATATTAATCTTTATTCATATAAACAAATAAATATGTTGTTGGTTAAGAGTACTTAATTATTAATAAAAAAAACATAGGTTTCATCCTGAAAATTCTACGGGAACTCGACCATTCCGAAAACCCGGCAAGAACGGGAAAGTTGTGGGAAGAACCAAAAATCTTTCGGAAGTAACTATTCCACGCGGACGAAGCCGCGACAAAAGCTAGTTCTTTAATATTTGCAAAAAACTCAGAAAACTAAATATGTTACAGCAAAAACTGCTACATGACATTAAAATTATTACATACACATGCATTCTTAGACTGTCACGCTATAATGAGATATCGATAAATTTAATCCAAATTATAATGTTACTCATATTTCATTGTTAAACACCAACAGTTTAATTTTACTCTCATAAATATTCTTTAATACTCATATCAAAGATACTTAAAACACTACTTAGCAATTCATGGTGTAGTACGCATTACTAAATTGTCCAAAGTTACTAAAACATAAAATTAAATATTAGCCTGCTTGAATTTTTCCATATTTTTTTTCTATCATTCATTTAATAGGTTTCTTTTCTCGTTTTCTTATTTAAAAATTATCAAATGGTGACAAAAGTCCTCAGACAGTTTCCTGTAATTAATCTCCTTCAAGTCTCTGCTCCATAGGGTTTTATTATTAAAAATTAAATGTCTTACAAATACTTTTAACGTCTTTTTCTTAAATAATGTTACCTACTTCTGAGTAATTAAAAGGAAATTTAGTACTTGTAATAATTATTATTAGTACAAAAATATATATTTCAAATATCTGTACTTTATGTTATCATTAAATACAAGTGAATTTAAATACAATTTATGAATTCAACAATTAAGACATATTGAAATATTCTACACATTCTCTTTCCCTTTAATTTATTGAGTATGTCATTAGTATATAAAAAATATATCCAAGGATCAAATTAATTTGAACAAAATACATTAAACTCCTTTAAAAATAACGCTTCACCCTCATGGTTACAAAATAATACTAGTTCTGTTATCTAAGACGAACTTTTTTTTTAACTATATTGAATGAAGCATTAGCTTTTGTGACCTACAGACATCATAACATACTGTGACATATATATTTATATAAACATCACTAATAGTAATTATTATTTCATTGTCATTACAGCCACATTCCAGGACTTAATAAAACATATCTATTTTACATCCATGTGTATCATAGTTCGGAGCATTATTTATTCTTATTACTAAAACTGTTTAAAAAATTGTAAAGGAAGAGTTGTAATACAAGACGTTTTAGAACTTTTGGAAACGTAACAGTATCGTGTGTTGTTACAAAGATTTTCACAAAAACAAACAGTAAACTTGTTTAATAGTTGTCTGGGGAAAGGTAGACGCTTGAACATATAATAAGAATTTATTACTAAGTCTTTTATAGTTCTGAAGAAAACAAATGCTTTTAGAACGCCTCTGGAGGAGAGAGGTATGGCGACAAAAGTTATATTTATATTTTAAATATAAAACGATAAATCTTTCATGAATTCTAAGCAATATACACTCATTATTTTTAAATAACACAATAGAACAGAAATAATATTTCAAAATGGCAGAAGCCAGATTAATAAGCATGAAAAAAAATAGAAATGCTTATGGACAGTAAGGTAACTAAGCAAAGCCGAAACAGTTTCAAAACTATATGAATGAACACAGAGGTGAAATATACAGGATGACTGGTGAATTACTATCAATATTTAAGGAGAATACTCGGTACATGATTCTCGTTCGAAGTATGTAAAAAAAATAGGTACTTAATTTTTGACCAAATTTCCGTATAAATAAATAAAGTGTGGACACGTTCCAAGTGTGGACGCGTGCGGCGGCGTGCTGATACAACACTACGCCGCGTATGTGTGTGTGAGTGTATACCTAATCTGTAGGGTGTTACACGATGGGTAATTAATTACATAACTTTTGGTTAACTTTACTTAGAAGTTTATTAATATTTATGTTATATTAATTTTTATTTTGTCATATATGATCGTCAAATATCACGTTCTTTCAGATCCATTCTTTTTAAATTACAAAATACAGAGTGGTAACATTCTCACGTTTTATTTGCACTTTCTTACCGCTATACAAAGTTCATATTCAATCATATCTATCAATTCAATCATATCAATATATAGTTCATATTCAATCATATCTATTCAAATTCAATCATATCTATCAAGATTTAATGTCGCGTTCAGAAACTAAAAAAAAGTGATCGCGGACCCGACCAATTGGTATTCAATTGAATATACCCAAAATATGTATAATATTAACCATCAGATTTGTTTGTCTATGCGCCAGGTAATCAAACAAAAAACATCGTTTATCACAAAGCACTACAATGAAAATAGAACAAATTTTTTTTTTGTTAATAAATATAGTTTACACGATTAAAATTACTTACTTTTAAAAGCGCCATACATAAGCTGAGCTTGACGTCTATATTAGTCTATGATAAGACTGTTGATATTTCTATATCGTATTCTCGATATATCGATATTTTAAAATATATCAATACCGGAGTTTAATATATCGAAATAAATATCGATATTTCGATAGATCTATATATTTTTTGATTTTATTTTATAGGCTTCGTTTAAAAAAAAAACAATCCTTAGTCGGATCAGAAATTATTTACACAGTTTTGAATTCAGTATATTTATTAAACAAATTAAATTATAAATGTATGAAAATGTTAGCTTCTTAACAATTATTGTTGAATTTTGACGTGATAACGTCTGTAAAATCGTTTTAGTCGGGTGACATGTTCAAAAACTTGTGTCAGACTAACACCTCACGAGCGCGATCGCAGGTATAACGAGAGAGAGAGACGGAAGATCGGTTCACTCACTCGAACGCTATGCTTGCCTCCGCTCGTGAGGATTCCGCGTGACAAGTTTCACGGAATGACTGGCAGCGCTCGAGATGAGACGGGAGATCGGTCCGTCTCTCTCTGTATGTATATCATAGTCGAATAAGTAAACTTGTCATTTTACACCCGAAATTTATCATCAAAAGTGTGAATAAAACGATAGATGTAATTTAAAATTTGAAAAAATTGTTACCTTCATTAATTCCTTACTTCCCGAAAACTTATATCACCAATAAGACGTTATCACGTAAACATCTCGATCGTAAACATACTTTACAAACAACCAATTTTTTTATTAAACAACTATGCATACCAATATCTCTCAGTAAGAGTTTTCAAAAACACTCGTTTTTTATGTTCAGCTATTTGGCTACTACAATTATTAGGCACTAAAAGATTGATTATAGAAGCAATTCCTTCAGATGCTACAGATGTAGCAGATGAAATCAAATATTTAGCAGCTATTTCTGATAATACAGGAGTAAAATGTCTACTATCTATCCAAAATTTTAGTGCATTTGATGACCTTAAAATATTTGGCTGATCTAAATACTGCTTTAATTCAGCAGGGATTGCACTAAAACTTTTACCAAAAACTTCACTAGCATTGGACATATTTTTCAAGAGCATATCTTCATGTCTGTCACATAACAATGAAGTTGTTTCTTTTTCAACACGTGGAGAAACACCAACTGTAGGTGAACGATTCCCTCTTATTTTGTGTTCTGCAATTATTTCTTTTGATAGATCTGTTATTGCATTAGCAGCGGCCATTGCTGATATGAAATGTAACTTTTTGAAGCGGGGATCTAAGATAGTTGCTTTGGCCAAAAGAAGGTAAAGGCACTAATCTATCTTCAATACCCTTCAATAAATCATTTTGTACTGACAAACCAATAGCTGTAGATATTTTAGTTTGTTCGATTTCTTGTTTTAATAAATTTGTTAATGGTATTACTAAGCTAGCTGTGACATATTTCTCAGCACTCAAATCTTCTGTTACTATTTTAAATAGACCAAGAAGCGTAACTAAATCGTGCAAAATCGTGGACTCCAGAGTAGTACAGAGACAGACCATAGATAAAGAAAACTTATTTTTAAAAAATATCGACCGTCGATATTCATATTTCAATATTGAAGTATCGATATATCGCCCAAAATAATATTAGTAATAAATATCGATATTACTAAAAATTAATATCGATATTTCGATATATCGATATTTTATCAACAGTCTATGATAAACTATTGTCTCTGTCTTAAAAGTTCAGTTATTCTTTCAAATTGTTTGCAAACATATTTGTGGCCGGAGTTATAATAAAAAAATACCTACATAATTCATTTACCATTTCTTTGTGTAATTTTCACATTGGTTTCTACAGGATAATTTGTACTGTGTGTTTTTTCTGAAGTGTTTGTTCAACAAGGTAAGTAAAATTGTTATAGTGTTGGAAAGGTTTGATAGACCATTTTGATACTATTACAAAAGAATAGGAATAGACTAATAGTATTTTTGTTTTTCAGTTGAATTTTTGTTTCAAAACATGCCGGCAATTAGACGTACAAACTTAAGACGCAGAACCCGTAATGCCTCAAGTCAAAGAAATATAAGAGCAAGTCTAACTGATGAGCAATGTGAAACGCGGAATGAAGGTGAACGGAATCGATGGAACCGAAACCAACAATATGGAAGTGTTGCTTTTAATCCCTATAAAGCTACATTAGATTATAACAAAGAAATGGACTACAGTAGCTACAATAAATTTTATGCCAATTTTTAAGGTAAGTGTATTAAAAAACATTTACCACTATTGTTGACAGTTTTCAATTGTAATGGTGTATCATTTGAAATTGCTTAAAGTACATTTGTAGCTCTGTGAATTACATTTAGTAGCCAGAAGGAATTGTGTTTAAAACTTTGATGGGGGAAATGGTAGTGCTCACAAAGTATTTTGAGTGTCACTTTGTGGTTTGAACAATTCACTTTAAAATTTGTATATGTAATACAGGAATGTTTATCTTTGCAGATTCAAGGACAAATATATCATTGAACTTATTAGTTATCACCAGTGCCGGTCAGTGACTATAAATTTTTCCAAATTAATTTCATGGGCGATTCAGGAAGACAAGTTGATCAGCGTTGTGCACACAACTATTCTGTGAAAAGACCAGTTGTGGAAAAGTTCCAATTATTATTCCATCAACACAACCCATTGGTTGCATTATTCAAGACTGCATTAGATGATGGTGAAGATGGGTATTATTTTTAATGAAGATGATAAATCCTGTTACAGGTAAATAAAAATTTTAAGTTTTTAATGTTTATCATAGCTTTAAGTGATTTTTATAATTTTATCACAAAAAAATGTTTTTAGGTTCTGAAACTAACAAAAAAGTTAATTCAATGAATTATTATTCATACAGGCTTATGGTTGGAGACGTTGAGGTCAATCGCATCTTAATATGTTAGTGTCTCTGTCACCAATATGCTTTTGATATGTATGTAAAAGTGGAAACTGAGTGATTAATGTTTTTCAGGTTGAACCAGGCCAAACTCCACTGCGGAATAAGGAAATTAACATCATTCAGATAAAAGGTTATAGATATTTCTTCATTATAGGGTGGTACGAAGTCCGCCGGGCAGCTAGTTGATTTATAAAGATCAATCAAATTTCAAGCAACGTAAATTAAATTTGACACAAAATAATAAACGATTATAAATTATTTTAATGCCATGAATATGAAGGGGCTGTGGGCCTCGACACTGACAGATGTGGAGACATGTAAATAAAATTATGTTTTATAATTGATGTTATCTGAAAACATGTCATAAAACTTGACTCACTAAAGTAACAGATTACAGTCAATTACTATAATTATAGTATACTCATTATAAGTCATACATGAACTTATGGTGTAATTTTTACTTTGTCATTGAAAACGTTTCGAGACAATATTCCTAATATGTTTATTCAGTTAAGCAAAAGATAGCAGTTGACAGTCGTATTTATCTTTGTAACACGATATTATGATGTAGTAATGGTTGCTTCAATTTGCTTTGAAATTTTCTCGTCATAAGTTATTATAGACAAAATATCCTTTACTAAATGATAATTATTAAATTCTACTATATTTAAGATTATATCTATATGTAGATTTTACAACTAGAGTCATGATAATATCTATATCATTTGACTAGATAATCCCCTTTCCACCTAATGAAAAAGATTTAATTAATGAAAAAGATTTAATTAATGTTGCGTGTTGTAACTGCTGAAATAGATGTTGTTAATTTAAACAATTGAAATGAATTATTTACTATATTGTTTAATCATTCAATACAGAGAATAGACTTAATGATAATGTGATTTATTATTTACTTTCTTAATGTAAAAGTTGGCATTATTTAAGTGATGTTAGGGGATTCATGCACGATGAAAATCGGTTTCCATTAATGGCTTAGAATTCATGCTACAGTCAACAATATTCTCAAAATATTCTTCTACTTATAAAAACAAGTTTCTATTTATTTTATACTTTATGTTAAATTATGATGATGTTTTGAAACTTAACTCACAGTGATATAAACACATACATGTAGTCTTTTCTCAAGCATATCAGTACATTGTCAAGTTTCTGTGATCCTTCCATAATAATATTTTGCCTGTACTATAACAATCTAATCTTTATAATTACAGTATACATCAACATCACTGACGAGAACTAACCATGTTAGCGAGCACGGTGCTTCAAGGAAAAGTAACTCTGTTACGGTTCAATTGGAATCTAGACCGCATCAAGAGAATTTAATGAAACAAAATCTTTATAACTACAAGGAACAACTAATATATTGTCACATTGTATTTGATCAAAATAAAGAAGAATTAAAAATTAAACTGTGTGAAAAAAATCTATTTTGTAACTATACTTATAAGCTCTGATTGTATTTTTTTATATAATTAAGAAAATTGTTCTGATATTTTAAAACTAATGTATACTTATATTATTATAATCAAATTATAAGAGATCCTTTTCTGTGTACAATTTTACATAACTGTCGAATAACACTAAACCTACAACAATAATTTTGTTGATGTTTTTTTCATTGTGTCAAAGTTAATAATATGAATGTTTAATTCTATATTAACAATTGATAACACACGACAAGGGTCGTACAAACAGTCAACCTTTATCATTGACACAGCTTACGCCCTTTATCTTATGTTCGAGGTACAGTCTCAGACTTAATGTAATTTATTCAAATAATATTCTACAAATTTGTTATATAAATTGATAACCAGGCGTTGGCATTACAAAATTAACATAGTTTCAGTGTTAGAAATAATAATTAGAAATCATTAAAAATTTTGTTTTACATATAATTATAAGCCATTTATATGTTTTCTATATAACTTAAATTGAGTATCAGGTTACCACAATTTTATCCCGGTCATATCCACAGGTACATTAATTTATTATTGATTAAAATTTGACACAAAAATGATTGTTAGGATTACAGTATATTATAATTTGTACGGCACAGATGGCGTCACTTATAACATTTAGAAATTCTATCTCAGAAGTTAAATCTGAAGTCAATACTAATTAGGCTCGAGTTAATTTTAAGTAATAAATGATTTCTTCAAAAACTTTAAAGGTTCCAATAACTTACATGTCTACATTTATCCATTATAATTGAAACTAAAATGACAGTAAAATATCTAATATAATAGATAATACAGTTAACCAAGTTTTGAAATCTGTTTAAAATATCTGTTACTAAAATAATCATTATATTATTCATCTCGTTTAAATGAAGCTATGACTTTCCAAATACTACGGCTCTTATTATTTTATTTTTCAGCTTAATTCATTTTTTCAGCTGTTTTCTATATTTTACAACAATCATTGATATATAAACAGTATGAACATTATAATGTTCTAGTTGTATTCTGTTCTTGTATATTTGTATAAAACTACAATACATTACAAAAAAATAAAGTACTTTATTCTCTTAAAATTATTTTCAAAATCAAATTCGTTTGATAATGTAAATAATGGCGATAATCTTTAATAAAAATGTTTTTGCTTCAACATTAATTGAATAACATACATATAAGTATGGATACAGAAGATAGTTGAATTATTAAGAGCGTCAAGATTTCTAGTTTAAGTTTAGGTCTGCAAATGAAGTTTACATTAGGATCTATGAGAATCGCCTTGTAAAGGTATCATCTGCTTAAATTAGTTACTTCACATTTTAGTCCTATACTTAAAACCGCTATAGTTTGCTCATAACATAATAAATATTAGACTATTGGAGGTTTTATTTTTATCCAAAATATGAAGTTGAAAATTTGACAAAAGACCAAATCGTTGGCGACCGCAATTTAATTTCAATATTATTTTCTTTCTTTACCATGATATTCTTTGAATGAAAAGTATAATTGAGCTTTTATCGTTTTTATTAATATAATTTAACTACTCAAACTGGTCCCTTTTTAATTTGGCAACTCACAACGTAGTTTATATTGAGATGACTTTCATGAGTATTCATTTGAATGAAACTAATATTTTCGGATTACTACGCGTTATTTTATTATTTTTACACTATCTAATTTTGCAGCAACTATGAAACGTCGGGAGTATGTAGTTTTAAACATGCGGTGCTCCATTTATAAAGTAATTATCTGATAAATGAATGACATGTACATTATAATTCATTTTGTATAACTGCAAAATAAATTGGCGCGTTAATTTCAGAATACTTTAGG